CACACAAAGACCATCTTCCCACAAAAGGTATGATTGGTTCTGCTGCATTGCCCTTCCTGAAAATAGGAGTAGAAAAAGTTTGCATTATGGAAAATGGGTTTGAGGGTTATCATGAGTGTGTAATGAATAGAGTCCAAGGAGCTAAGTTAGAAAGACATAACATTGCTCTTTGTTATGTTTGTAATCCTCAAATTAAGAAAATGGAAAAAATTGCTTCTGTTGTTGAAGAAAATGCAAAAAAAGCAAAAGAAACTGTGCAAGAAAAAAGTTCATCATGGTGGGGATACATCAGTCAAACGGTTAGTGATGCGGCAAAGAAATATGAACAAAACTCAATACAAGCAATGGAAGATGCAAAAAGAACACGTGAAGAGGAAAGAAAGAAACAAAGAGAAGAACAAACTAAAAGAGAAAAAGAATTAAAAGAAAAAAAGAAAGCAGAGCCTAACGAACAAAAACAAATAAATGATCTTCCAAAGAAAACAGATCAAAAAGAAGAAATGTCACAAACAAAAAAAGAGGATAAAAAAATGGAGCTTTTTGAAATTGTTGAAGAAGACGATGATGAGGAAAAGGATACAAATAATACTGACTATTTTAACGATGTTATGAAAGAAAATCCTACATACCAAGCACTGTTAGAAATAAAAGGAGACAGTGAAACAAAAAGCATCCTTGTAGTATTGACTTCTATTGAATTACTGATTCTTGAAAAGTCAGAAACCGAATTGTTTATGGTACAAGAAATACTGTATGACGATATAAAGAAAGTAATTACTAAAAGGTCAACACCTGAAAATATTACAATCAAAACAGAAGATGAAGAACTTATAATGAAGATAACAGACAACCACCAACAATTCATCAAAGACCTCACTGAACGTACCAAGAAGTAAATTTTCTTAGTTTATATTCTTTTAAGTTAGTTAAGTTTTTATTGAGGTTTTAAATAATAAGAGAAGAACTTAAAAAAAAAAAGAAGAGAAATGAAAGAGAAAGTAATAGAAATATTGGAAGAGATAAAAGAAAAGCCAGAAGGGGAGAAAGAGATAAGAGACAAAACGGGGATAGAAGAGGAGATAGTTAAAATAAGTTTAGAAGAGATGATAGAAGAGAAGATAATAAAGTTTGTTAAAGAATAAGAGAAGAAGAAAAGAAATGAAGAATAGAAAAGGGAAGAAAGAAGGGATGTATTATTACACACGAAATGAAGAGAAGAAGGAAGAGATAAAAGAGGAGATAATAGAAATACTGAAAGGGATAGAAGAGATGAAAAAAGAAATAGAAAGATATGAGAAAGCAAGCGAAGAATCTATGGAGAAAGTTCATAAATACAATGAGATCAAAGATATAGGACAAGAGCTGATGGGAAGGAATGGACAAATTTATGGGAAAACAATAGAAGAAGTGTACAAAGAATATGGGATGGGATATGAAGATTAAGAAGAAGAAACATAATTAAAAAATATTTATTAATAATTATAAAAATAAAAAATAAAAAAATAAAATAAAAAAAAATAAAAAAATAAAATAAAAAAAAATAAAAAAATAAAATAAAAAAAAATAAAAAAATAAAATAAAAAAAAATAAAAAAATAAAATAAAAGATGGAAGAAAGAGAGAAAGAAGAAATAATGGAAAAAGATGATTATGAATATTTAGAAATGATGGAGAAAAGGGAAATAGAATACAAAAGAGAGATGGAAGAAGACATCAAAAAGATAGAAGGGATAATCAAAAGAATTAACAAGAAAGAAAAAGTGAAAGAGAGAGTCGAGAAGAAAAAACAAGAAAATGAAGAAGAAAAAACAAAAGAAGAAATAATTGAAGAAATTAAGAGGAGAAAAGAAATAGAGAAAGGAATTAAAGAAAAGATTGAAGAAGAAACAAAAAAAATAGAAGAAGAAATAAAACAATACAGTTTGAGAAAATATTAAAAAGAAGAAGAAAAAGAAAACTAAACAGAAATAGGAGAAGAAAGAGAGAAAAAAAGAGAAAAGATAGAAGAAGGAGAAAGAGAATTACAAGAAAATAATAGTTTATTAGGACAATTTGGAATTGAAGTTGAAGTTTGGAAAGATGGAGATAAAAAAATCATTAGGATTATATTCGAAAAAATGAGAAAATACAAAAGTGGAATACTTGAAATGAAAATAGGAGGTGGTATTATTCGTGTAATAACTTGTCAACCTGAAATTAAAGAACTTGATAGATTATTAGATCAATTCTATTTCCATCATAATTTCATGTTATTTCTTATGCAAGTTCGTCAAGGACTTCATATCTTTTAATTTATTTCTTTTCTTTTCTTTTTGTTGTTTTGCTAATAAATTTGGTTATATCGTTATTACTGTTTGTTGTTAGTAAACGGCTTAGTGTTTGTTGTGAATTGGATAATCATTATTAGTATGCTATTTTTAATACTAACGTGAAAAAAGATGAACAAAAGGTAGATAGATAACTTATAAATAAATTTAGTCAAACAATACTTTGTGTCATGACATTTTTATTCAGTTAGGGAATAGACATACACCTGTTAATTGTAGTTTTGATTGAGTTAACTCTAATACCCTTTGACACCAAAAATAAAGTGTTTGGTATTTGTAGTGAATGAATGATTAATGGGTACAAAACAAATTAAGAGCTACTGATAAGAGTGTGAATAACAATTTTTTTTAATGTTATTGTTCTAAATAAGACTAAATATTTCAGTCATTGGTGTTGGGGTATAAACAAATCAAAATAGATGAAGAATTTCTTATAGCTACTGAGAATAAAAATATAAGGTTATTTACTATAATGAATTGTGCTGATGATTACTAAGGTATAATAGTTTTAAATATTTACCAAGACTAACCAATTGAAAGAAGTAATTGAATAAATAATAAAATAAATTATTGATATAGAGTTAATTTCTATTAGTTTAGATAAAGACATTGTTTTTATTTTTATAAAATTTAAATTTTAGTTTTTCTCTTTAGAAGTTTGAATTTGTTTAATCAAACCATTGAAGTATTTTGATGCTATCAATTGTAAAAATTGAGTCATTTGCACAAAAGTAATTTGTTCCTTTATCTGTTGGATCGATATAATATTTCCAAAAACGTTCATTTGAAACTAAGAAACTATTAAATACTCCAATGAATAAGAACCCACTAATAGTTAAAATGCTTTCATTGTCCATATGAATTTTAAGTAATGGAGAAATAACTTTTCTTTTAAATTTCATTGGGTTGTGAGTTGGGTTGTTTAAGGAAAAAACAAAATGGTTGTAATCTTTATTTGTATATTCTCCAATTTTTTTAGGTACTACTTCATGGAAAGAACCGAATACATTTCCATTCCAGTCTTTTATGACAATCATAATATTGTTTCTTCCACAAATAGAACTCCAAATTTCTTGGTTTAAAAAAGACTTTTTCTCAGAGTCATAAATGATTAAATATTTATGTTTATGGCAAAATGCTGATAATGTTGTTGTCATTAAATTAGAAGGTTGATTTATTATTTTTCTGTTAATTTTATTTTGGTTTATACCTACTGATTTTTTGTAAGATTCAACATCTTGTTCAATTTCTTGTTCAATTTCTTTCTGGGTTTTAGTTTCTTTGTGTTCTTTTTTGAGACATAAAGTAGGGGATGTTTTTTTCTTAATATTTTTTAATTTTTCTTGACAATTAATTGATTCGTATTGGTGCTTTGTGGTTTTTGTC